CTTTTTGTTTGTATATGTTGCAATTTTTCTGTAAATAAATTTGTGGTGGTGGTTATATTCAACAACTGTCAGAGACCGAGTGTTATTTGAGTTGTGAGTGCATGTATCAATGTTGTCACTGGGATTTACATGTGAAGAGTAGGCATATGCCATGCTATAAATTAATTTTGGACCATACCCATGTTGTGTGGCTATGTTCTGGATGCGATGTAATTCAGATAAAGTGTCTTCAAACCTGGAGTGGTGCGTGAATGCTCTTTTGGTTAAGGCCCAGAAAGCAGCCATCTTGTATGAGAAGGGGTCAGCTGAAATGGTCAGGATGAATAATGGGGATTAGCATGACTTATAATGGTCCATAGTTGTTATCCAGTTGCCATCTAATTGCAGATTGATGTCCAGGAAGTTTGCAGTTGAATTGCTTATCTGGTCTAGTTTGATACAGAGACCATATGGGTTATTGTTCATTGAATCGATGAAATGGTTTATATTGGGCTTGGTTTTTCATAAAATAAAGATGTCGTCGACATATCTTTTATATAGAAGGATGTTGGGTATAAACAGGGGTATGATTCTCTGTTCAAGTTGTCTAATCACTAACTCATATAAATTGCTCAACATTGGGCTGCCCATAGGTCAAAGGTTTTGTGAGTCATTGATTATCCAGTAAACTATGGTTGTTTTTTAAATCTCAGATCTTTACAGTTTGTCATACAACTAAAAAAGTTTTTTTTATCATATCATAGAATCTGATATTGGGGATAGATGTATGGTGATGGTAATCAGTCAGTCAGTCAGTCTTTATTTAAAGTGCATAAGCACACATCTGGCCCCGCTAGGTGCATTACCAGATAAGTATACATAGGAATTATTTACATATTAACAGTACAAATCAATAGCACACAAAACATTATATTCAATTGAAGTAATACAAAGCAAAAAAATATAAATACAGTTTTACATAACATAATAAACAGTAGCATAATAACATACAGCATTTACAATAAGATATACAGTAGACTATTCAAGTATAATAACTTGTGGTATATATTAATAAGAAATTAGACATATTGATAGTAGATCAAATGTTAACAATTATTTATGGTTATTTCCAGTTATGATAACAAATATTAGAATAATAAAAATGCCTAAAATAACAAGGTAAATGTGATAATTAACAATAACATGTAAGGATAGTTAAATGCTTATGTATCACATAAGTATGTATTGCATATAACAAAATAAATATGTATTATTTACTATAAAATATATGTACTTTACGTGAAGATATTTATTGACTATTATTAACAAATATTTATAATCTAATAATTTAAGATACTAAACAAACTTAAAATTAAAAAGTAACACAATGTAAAATAAGATGCTCAGCATTGAGTACACATAGTTTCAATGAGCTCATATCTATCATTAGACAGATATTGCTAAATGCATTAGTCCATTTCAATTATTAAGAGTTCAGTGAGAGGTAGGTTGAAATACTTATTCAGTCTATAAAAGCACCAGATGCACGTAGTTCAGGTGATTTTCATCTCTTGTTGAAGTAGGTTGATATCACAGATGGAGCCAATTTCGAAGAAGGCCATAATCGCAGATATTACATTTGTCCATTTCAACCATCAAAGTTCATAAGAAAGAATGTCAGAAGGTTGAAATTCTTGAGTGATCTTGAAAGGCATAGATAAGAGGTTGATCCCATAGTTTTGGCTGGACAAGAAGATCATGATTGAAGTGTGTAAGTTGATTGCACAAAAGTTAGTCACACAAATAAATATTGGTAACAGGAGGAAAAGTTGATCATACAAAGATGGTCGAAGGTTAGACACATCATCATAGTTTGATAGCTGATTTGAATGCAATAAGCATCATATATGTGATACAAGACTTCTATTTCTTTGTCAGAACAACAAGGATGGCTTCTTGGCAGAAATTAATTAATACACTCTATCCAACAAAACACCTAATTGAAAATCTTTAGAACATGTAACTAAAATCACTTAATAAAAAGAAAACAAAAATAATTCCATAAATGAATCTCCTTAATAAAAATACAAGAAGTACACAAGTACAATTAAACTGTAATCCTTTAGATTAATTAATAATTGTACATTGAGTGATAAAATTAATTTTGCTGGCAAGTCGTTTGAAAGCATTATAAATATCATAGTTAGTCCAAAAATCTGATAACTCACATGGCCACATTACACCATAACTACCAAGCAAAACTTAACTCCAATCGCTCTTTTTCAAAAATTATACAATCAAATATGTAATGTGTAGAACCATCCTTCACAGAACATGAAGGACACAGGTTTGAGCTCTTGTTAGTAAATCTAGCGAGATAACTCACAAACTTGCCGTGATTTGATAATAGCTGCGTAGTACAAAAGTTTGGTGTATACCATTTGAGGCCAATAAAGTTTTTAATATTGGGGATAAATTTATATGTGATGTGTTCTGTATTATTGTCCCATTTGATCTGCCAGTTATGTAGAGCATCCTCCCATAATAGTCGACGTAAAGTTCATAGACTAATTTTATTATATTCAACAGGCAATGCAGTGTTTTCAGCAGCCTGTTTTGCTAAATAATCTGCCGTCTCATTGCCTTGTACACCTTGGTGGGCCCTTACCCATGTGATTGCAAAGTTACAGCTCATAGTCTGTAGTAAATTTTATATCTCTTCAGCAAGTGGATGTAGTCTTGCACTTTTCAGAAGAGTAAAAGCAGATAATGAATCTGTAAATAATTGTATAGTTGTTTAGTATGATAATTATTTGCCCATTTAATTGCCTGTAGAATAGCAAATAATTCTGCTTGGAAAACTGTACAAAAGCTATCCAAGAGTATTGATTGACTGAATATCTCTATGTTATCAGTGAAAACTACAAAACTGCATCTGACAGCATCATTAATTTTTGATCCATCAGTATAAATATCTAATTCTGCAGATTGTACATCATTAAAATTGCAGTTTAAAGAGCAACGAGGAAATAAGATGTTAGAGTATGGAAAGCTCCACTTGACTTCATTGCTGGCTATAGTGCGTAAACCACACTGAATGGTCTTTCCCCATTTTAGTTGTAGGTATCTCTCTTTCTGTGTGATCACAAGATCAATTGGTAATTTCTTTGCAATCACCTGAAGGCTTTGATTACGAACAGTTCAATATGCCTTAGTAATTGGTATAAGTGCCCACCTCTGTGAAGATACTAGTTTGCGATTGAAATGTACTTTACGTATAGCCCAACCCCATGTGCCGCATGCATATGTTATGATAAGAATGTAAATAGCATCATAGATGATGGACAGTACTTCAGCAGAAAGCCCCCAGGTCCTTCTTGCCACTTGAGCAAAATATTGTAAAATTAGGCCTGTGCAATTAGTAATATATCTAACATGATTATCCCATGACAAATGAAAATCAAGCACAACACCTAAATATTTTATTGTTTGACCAATCTTAATGGTATTACCATTCATTTTAATATGCGGCAACCTAAGATAAAGATTAGCTTTTCCAGGTGTATTAAAAACAATACCACATTTTTTTGGGGATTGAAGTATAACTTATGCGCAACACCCAATCATAGATGTTCTGCAGCATAGTGTTACCTTTAAATTCCAGATCAGATCTTGATTGGCCACCCAGTAGCATTATTACTTCATCAGCATACGCAAAGATTTTCATTTGTCCAAAGTCTTCTTTTAAGAAGGTATCAAAGATGATGTTTCAAAACAATAGTCTGCATACGGATCCCTGCGGGCAACCCCTAGTAATATCTTTAATGACCTGATACTGATACTGACCATACCGTAGGATAGCCTTGCGGTTACAAAAGTAATCACGTATAAGGTTCCAGATGTTCTGTGGACAGTTAATATTACGAAGTTGATGTAAGATAAGTGGCCACCATGCACTGTCAAAAGCCTTCGTTATATTGAGACTGACCCCTAAAACATATTTATGTTCCTCCAATAAAGATTGTATATTGTTAACTACAGCTTCAATGGATTCCCTGATGGTAACCATAGGATTCCTTGTTTCTTATCTTAATTTAGTGTTTTTCCTCTGGACTAAAATCATGATTTTAAAGATACTGTTATAATTTTCCACCGCACTTCTATCTTGTTACTCTAAGACTACCAAAGGATCCAAAGAAAGAGGTGTCTTGCTTTATTTACTTGTTGGTTGGTAGTCCAATAATTATGCACACATCATAAACAGATGCCTAATTACAGGAAAACAAAAATAGAAAAGATTTTTCTAGAATCAGATGATCTATAGATATAAATAAGTTAGTATAGATAGTAAAAGCAGTGTAATATGAACAGTCACTGAAAGAATTGCATTTATAACCTCTCTTAATCAAAGAAGATACACAATCACATATGAGTATTTAAACCACTGTGGTGTTAAAAAAATAATTAAAATGGTATTGTATTTTTGTAACAGTTTGTCCACGGTAGAGGGAACCACCCTTATCTTTTGTTGAGGGGTACTTAAGGTGTTTGCATCTGTTTGCATGGACATTTTTGGGGATAACTCTTCCAAACAAACTACCTCAGGACTTTTCTATTAATTGGATTCTACAAAGTGAAATAGTTAATTTTGCACTAAAATGGGAAAAATCAGGAAAATTTTGTAATCTTAACTTCATGTGCTTAATATTGATATTGTAGTCTTGTTGTTTTTGTTGTACAAATTAAATCAAATTCCTCTTAGCCTGGTACTATCAGGAATTACACCACACACTTAGTTCAGGATTAAAAACACAGATTTTGGTACATAAATATACTTAAATAAATATAAATCTCAGATTAATTTTAAACTGTTAGAGGTTGAAGAGAGTTAAAAAGGTATAGAAATAATGTTTGTTTCTCTCACAAATTTTTGAATAAATTCTGTTCAGTATAGTACTGATATTTAGTTTAAACAATTAAAAATATAATATGTACTGAATAAGATAAATTTTTTAATTTAGGAGCTGAAAGATTTCTTAGAGATATTGAAAAGATGATTGGTTCTCAATCTTATTTTTGGACTGCATTTTGGAGTAAAATGTGGAAATATCTTACCCCAGCTACTCTATTGGTAAGGTTGATAAATATGTTTTTTTATTAATTTATGTATAATATAAAATAGTTTATTATAAAAAAATATTAACAAAAATGATATAAATATTCAATTTAGTAATTTTCACCATAATTCTGAAAATAACAATTACGAAAATTTAGAAAGCTTCCTGTTTATTTAATTAATACTTTTTGTAAAAAAGTCTTGTATTTTACAATTATACATTCATGTCCAAAATATAGGTGAAATTTAATGGTTATGCTTACATCTCAAAAACTACTGATAAGAACAGAAAACATATTAACATAAAAGCAGAAATGCTGTATTCTTTATTCAACAAATCAATTGAAAAGCACATATTTAATCTAAATTATATCAAACCAAAAACAAGAAGAAAAAGTATTGTTGCAAATATTTTTGCACAGAAAGTCATTAATATGGCACATAGTTGCCTCCTGCATTCATACACACCTCATGATTGTTTGTGCATATTATAATGCTATTTATTAGCTCTGTTGAGAGCAAAGTCCATTTTTAAAACAAGAGTGTCTTGTTTAAAAGTGGACTCAAAGCTCTTGAAGTGTTTTTGGTGGATGTTGATAGGATGCAGCTCATCTTCCTAGAGTTCTTCACATGTGTACAGGATTTAGATCCAGAGACCTTGCTCTCTACTTTGTATATGAATATCTTCATTATCAAGAAAGACATTAATGTCTGCACAGTAGGGCCGTACTTGTCAGTGTCCACAAAAAACGAAATCTGCATCTAAGGCAAATTGCGACAGGAAATTTATATTTTTCTTAAAGAGGAAGACGACAGGTATCTGAAAATTTTAGGAATGAAGATTTTTTGGTAAAGCTAGCATACTTATGTTAAAAGCTGAATGCTCTGAATCTCTCTCTGCAGGGAAGCAATATGTACCTTTTAAAGCCGCTTGAGAAAATTTCAGCTTTTATAAAAGAATTAAACTATGAGATAGAAAAATAAATGAAGACAGAGGAAAATAATGTTTCCCCTTGTTGCAACAGTTTTTGACCTCTAAGTTGATTTCTCTTGAGGTATGAAATCTATTTTTGTTTAACATTTATCACAGCTTATTATCATTTTGAAAATATTTGTCAAACTAGGTGATATCGATAAATTTGCATGGATTCAAGATCTGTTTAATGCCAGTGCTCCATCTGAATTTACTGCTTCAGAAGAAAAGAATCTTATTGAATTGTCTTACGACAATATGTTCAAAACAAAATTTAGCAGCATGGAATTAACTGAACTTTAGCTATCAGTAAAAGATGATTATCCCTTCTGAGTGATACAGCTCAGAGAATCTTAATTTCATTTGCTGCTACTTATATGTACGAAGCTGAGTTTGTCACTATGATAATAACTAAGCATTTCACGAAAATCAATATGGAGAAGGAAATGGGTGGCTGTGTCCAGTTTGATTCCAAGATTTGAGAAAATGAATGTGCAGTGATCAACAGGCTCATCCATCTTACTAATTATAATTAATTGAATTTGTTCAATTACCTTTTTTTTTGTTACCTTAAATACGTGTTTTATTTATTTTTTTATTTGACGTCCTAATTCTTTTTAATTAATTTAAGAAGATATTGGCTATTTCACAAATTGTACTTGTTAGAATTTGACATAGAGCGCCTTGAGAAAATCTGAATTTAGCAAGGGTCGAGAGAATCAAAAATGTTTGGGGACCACTCAGTTACCCTGTAACAAGTTTATGAGTATTTGTGAGATATTTTAATATTTTTGGAATTTTGCTTTCTTCAGTGTCTTGCATATCAAGCTCACGGTCGAGTTATAAACTTCGTAATGTATTCCGTAAGAAAAGTTTGGATCGATCAAACTTTTACGGTAGGGATACGCAGAATTGACCAACTGCGCATGCGCCAAGTCTCCATCAATCGATATACAATCGGAAGTTGTGCCGGAAGCAACCCACGAAACTTTGACAAATTGGTTGAAACGTAACTTTTGACCGACAATGCTGCTTCTGAATAATATAAAATTTTAAGATAAGAGTTACTTTGGTCATAGAAAAATGATAAAATTAATAAATAATTATAATATTACATCTGGCAACATCAACCGATGATTTTGCGCACGCTTACGATGGACTGCTTCGTAAATCGTAAAAAAGTTTGTTCCTTTACGGATACAGAAAAGACCTTACGGTAGTTTATAACTATTGCTATAGATATCCAGTGTAGGATACGGTTACGTTACGGAGTTTATAACTCGACCCTTAGGGCCAGTTGCATGAGCGTAAGTCTTTGGGATAGACTGCCGTCTAAGTTAACTGCAATTTTGTTCAGTTAAAACTTATTCTGTAGATTAGCAAAAAAAACAAGACAAAGAAAGAAAATTAGCATAGGCTGTAGTGAGGATGGCAGCACCAGCATTTGGAAAAGGAATTGGAAAGCATTTCTGGAATGCGTAAATATGACAATCATCGACTGCAGAAATTTGACTATGTGAATGTCCATCCCCGACCCTAGAAAATCGTGTAGGCCTATACTTAAAGGGACAGGTATCTCTGAAGTGTACAGAGCATACTTGCAAACTTTTAGAATGGGGAATAGCTGCAGTGTTGGTAGAAAAATGCTGATGTTTGAATAAAAACACTGACAGGCTTAAAAGCGAAAAAATTATTTATTAACATTAATAAAAATATTATTAAAGGTATTTGATATTGCACAAACAAAATTAATGTTATCATTTGCAGAGATTGCATTTATGGCAATAAAGCTATCGCCATAAATGCTGTCAAAAGAATGGCAATAGCTTTATATTCTTTAACATCACAATTTAAAAAAGATCAAGTATTTTATGGGACACATCATAAATGTACAGTACACCTAGATTCATGCAATCAGGCAATAACAATACTTGTGACGTCACAAGTATTGTTATTGATGTGATGCCTTTGTGCATTATTTTTCTTTCTTAATAATTTCTTTTGTTACAGTGTACTTAGTCAGTTTATTGACTTTCACTGTGGTTATTAAGAATAATGTTTTTTGGTTGTGATTTAGTTCCTATCTCTATCTTACTTTTTCCTATCACACAGAATATTATTTCCTTTTGCCACACAGCACTGCAGCCCTGCAATTGTGTGGCAAAATCATCATCAGATTTTCTATTTTACAAGGATTATAAATTTTTATAAAATTTCCACAAATTTCAAAGAACTCTCTCGTATCTTTTCTTGAGAAAGTTCATACGATATGGCCTGTATGTTCTTAAGTGACAAATCAGATGTTTCTTCTTTTTGGGCGGAGAAATTTTTTAGTGCTGCTCAATTATTTGGTCAAACTGTTAAAGTAAACTAAATTCGTTTCCTTTTGCTGTTGAATCGGTCACAACTGATTTAACCGCTAACGTGATGGCACTAATGTTGCCAGACTTGAAGATGAAAATTTTAGCTTAAATATGATAATTTTAAGATAAATTACATTACATATATAAAAATATCAATCTTGGTTCTTTCACAATTGAACGAATCTGACAACGTTTTAGTCCTTCGTAATAAAATACATACCAATATATATTCCGAAGATATTGTATTAGACTCGTTAAATAAAGTGTTTATGTAATAATATCAAATTCTTTAAAAACGCTGAAAAAAGGGAAAAGTGGCCCGTTCACTGACGACGCTTACAAAACGCCAATGGTTGGCAACTATGCAAGCATCAACGACCACTTTGGTGATGATCCCGTGATTGTCATCAAATTGTCACGTATTTGTCAACAAAAATATTTAGAAACCACGGAACGGCTGGCCCAAATCCCGGAGTTTAATTCTGTAGATAATTTGTGGCATGCGCTTAAACGTTCTGTGAAGACTCGGCATCCAAGGAGGCCCAAAGACGAGCCGGAGAGTGCCATACAACGATTACGGTCACCCGTTTGTTTCCTTGTGCCAGAACGAGTTCGTGTTGTGGTTAAAGATAAGGATGCCGTACTTAATAAAAAGTATGGAATCATTCATGCTGAAACAAACAAAAAAGGCAAGAACATGAAAATTAATACTAATGATGCACCGATAAGCAAAATGGCCGATTAGTGTTAATATAATTAACTATTAACACAATAAATTATTATGATTATATCGCATGAAATTATGTATTCTTAATAAAAATATAAAATTTCATACGATAAAAATAATTTTCAATATGAAGCTATTTTTTTCTTTTCAGATTCATGTGTTAAATTAAAATAATAAATTATTATTTTGAAAAACTTTTTAATTTTAATTAATAGCCAAATTCAAACCCCTTCAAGGTTTCCAATATTGCTTGGAAATTTTTTAAGAAATATAAAAACAAGAAGTTTTCCGAGTGCGATTTCTATATCGAGAGGTGGAAAAATTGCTAAAACTTTTATCACCAAAATCATGATAAATCATCATGAAAACTTTTTAAAAGAAACTTAAAAGATGAAAAGAAAAAGTTTCGAAACCAAAGAAGCTGGATGTTCATCAGTAACAACGGAAACTCATATCCAAAGACAAGCTATTTTAACTCAATTAATAGAGAAGAAAAAATTGTAGGATATAAATGATCAACGATCCAAAGAAGTTCATTATTTGATTGGATAAATGATAAGTGTAGACATACAGCCATACTCTGTTGTGTCTGATTTAGGATTTCAAAGATTACTGAAAAATATCATTTTCAGCTAGGAATATTGTAATTAGGAATATCATCCCTGAGATATTACAAAAAGTTTAGTCAAAAATTCAGAAAGCTATTGACGATGCAAAATGTATTTCTTTAACTGCTGATATTTGGACAATAACTACAAACAATTCTCCTTTTTTAAGTTAGCAGCTCACTGGTTGAAGGGTGATTTTCAGCAAGAGCTGTTTTGCGAATTGTTCCCTTTGAAGGTTCCCATACAGGTACACGAATCAGTGAACAGATAAACATTGTTCTTGAACAGTATAAGTTGACAAGTGGTAAGATATTCTTAGTATTGAGAGATTCTGGAGCAAATATGGTAACTGGAATCAGGAATTGCAATTGAAAGGCATTATCATGCTTTACACATACACTGCAGCTGACACTAAACGAATGCACATTTTCTTAACAAGATGTGAAAACTATAATCACAGTTAATAGAAATATTGTCACACATTTTACTCATTCTGCTGTAGCTGTAAGCAAATTGGAAGATTTACAAGACAAGTTAATTTGTGTTTCTGAAAACCTAATTCAAGATGTTCTCGCCCTCGTCACACATGCTATAGATAATAAAATTCCTACGTTTAGCACATATCAGTGGTCTCTCGTTGAAAAAATTCTTCTACTTTTAAAACCATTCGAAGAAATTACTGTGGAAGCCATCATCTTCAATAATTCCCACAATAGAGACTCTTGAATTTTCGAGTCCTTCTATTGTAGTATTAATGTCACTTAAGAAACTACTGTTTTTACTTTTGATAATAAGAATAATTTAATTTAAAAAAATTCTTCAGCTTATATAGAAAACAAGTCTTTATGCTTGTCATCTTTATTAGATCCAAGATACAAAATGAAATTTCAAGAAAAGGAGGATATGGTAGAGGAAATAAAAAGATGGACAATTGATAGCTTAGAGATTCTCCATCTTGATAATTCAAAATCTCAAGAAGAATTAAATTCTGAAGCTTTTCTAATTTATTTGATGAATTAGCTTCTGGTAAACGAAAGAATGAAGAAAAGCATGTTTTTAAAAAGAAAGAAAAAACGAAACGAACGAACAAACGTTTCTATCAAGAATTAGAAAAATATTTACCGTACATTTACCTCTTATACAAAGTCATAGTGACTCATTTTTGTGGTGGGGAAGTTCAAAAAAACTTTTTTCCTAATTTGAGCAAAATAGCTATGAAATATCTAAGTGCACCAGCATTTTCCACTTAAAGTGAGAGAATTTTTAGCACTGGACGTAGCCTATTTCATTCTGGCTCATAAATGTTATGCCCTGAAAACGGTGAAATTCTCATTTTTTTGCATTACAATTTAAGGGTTTTAAAGTTTGAATATTTAAATATATAAAACAAATAAAAATTTAATTTTAAACTTTAAATAAAAGAGATAGTTTTGAACAGGCTGTATTATACCTTATAATATATATTGATAAAAGGAATAAGTTGAGTTGAGAAATTTTTTTTAATATTCAGTTTGACATGTAATAATTATATATTTATTAATTTTTATTACTAGCCTTGAACGTGACATTCTAACAAAAATATTAAAATGCAAAATGGCCGATTAATCAGTGCATCCTTACTTTTTACCAAGGGATGTAGTGATTTACTTTTTCTCGCTTGATTCAATTTTGCATATTGCTTAAAATATTCGCAAAATGGAAATTATGCGTTTGTCCTAGGAATAGCTTTGTCAATATTTAATATACTTTATTTATTGTATCTTAAAATATCAGTGTACTTTTGTGTTTAATTTAAGAAAAACAAATTAGGTGTGTTCGTATGTTATGATTCAAAACTTTCTCCCAGTAAGTATTTAATAGCTTATGTAATTATATAGTTTTTTTACTTAATTATTAAATGTATAACATTATAACTTACACGCAATCGAATTTTATTTTCTTTTATTTTAGTTTATCTTAATATTTAATTGGATCGAATATACTCCTGCCACAAGAGGAGATTACGTTTATCCTAATTGGGCCAACGGTGTCGGTTGGGTCGTCGCCATGTTACCCGTCAGTGTCATCGTTATGATGATGTTAGCAAAACTGTGTACTATAACAAGTCGGCCATTTAAAGAGGTTTGTCAAATTTTACGTATACATCAACTATTACAAAATTATCAATCAACAGTATGCTGCTCATCTGATAATCCAAACCAATTTTGTTCTAGGCAAAAATGAAAATATATATTTATTCTTAAAACATGATCTATATATTTATTCTTAAAACATGATATATATATTTATTCTTAAAACATGATATATATATTTATTCTTAAAATATGATAAGCACCAAATATATTTTAAATAAATCTTACATCGTATTGTCTGTAGTTTTTTTTTATTTCCTATTTTCTTTATAAAGTCGAGTCCGCTTAAGAGAGCAACCTCGCGATGGCTGCCTCGTGACCTCTTGCCCAAAGTAACTGGATCATTCGGGGTTGTTAATGATATTCGATTTTCTCTACGTAAACTTTAAAATTCATTATCACATAATTTTACTGCACTTACATCATACATACAAGAAAAACCGTGAAAGCCGTACGCGGTGTTTAGCCGGCAGAAAGGAGGGTAAGGGAAGAAGGGAAAGAAGGAGAGAGAGGAGATAGAGGGTACTGTAGCCTTATGTACGCCGTTCAGAGGAATTCTACCTTTGTCTATGTTTCATGTTGGCGTGCAGTTTTTAGGCTGTCTCCCGAAGGATCTTAAAGAAAACCTGAGTGTAGAGAACACAATAATTGAGTGCCGCCAGGAATAGCTAAGTTTAGAAGTTAGTCCTACTAACAGCCAATTGGCGCTATTAGTAAGACTTATATCTACTTAATACTAATAAAACTGAAATAGCGCGAATCTCAATACTATTAACAGCTAGACAGTGTGAAAACAAACGAACACAACGACAAACTAGACTAGACGAATGGACCCACAGAGGCAAACGAGAAAAACCCCCAAAATGTTTTTACTTCTTATTATTTTTTAATGTATTTATTATTTTTTTTAACGTTAACTTACTCACTAACTAAACTAACCTACCATAACCTAGGACGAACCTATCCAGACGACTAAAGCTAACAAATCCTAATCTAATTTAACGTAATCTATCATAACCTAACCGGAAACCAAGCTGAGTCCCTAATCTAACTTACAACTAGGACTAACCGAATTTCGACCGAAAAAAGAAGACTGGCACTTATATCATACTTGTTTTATTGTTGTATCGAACAGTCAGTAAATACAGTATACGGTACTATATTTACCAGTTACGTTACTTTCACTTTTTCCAAGAAATACAGTAGGCGGCCTAGTTGAAAAAATGCGAACATCCTCGCTCCAAAATTTCAGAACGATCTCTAAAGGGATGTACAGTACGGTATAAAAACAAATAAGTACAGAACCGTTTTAAATTGAGATCGTGCCACCTCCAAAATCTGTTCTCTAATCACTCGAGCGTGCGTGTGATCCGTGCCATTTTTTCGTATGTATTTTACAATTTAATACGTAATTGCTTCTTGTAAAGGTATGTGAATTCCAATGCGTTCATTACGGTTCTGCGAAAAATCTTGATTGTCCGTTTATTTTAAACCGATCGATGGAAGGTTTCACCAAATCTCAACAAATATTATATTTTAGCGTATACAGCCCCGTTGTCACCATCTCCGATGTCTAGTCGCAGTAGCAACAAAAATGTATTGGAAGTGTCATGCATCACGAACTCCTTAGCAAGTGGTCTCACTGAATCGGTACCAAGTGATATTCTCGACAGATTTGTGCCAGGAATGCTAGTCTCGTTAACTGGACACTAGCATGCCTGGCAGCCTCATCTGTCGGCACTACTCCACGTGAGATTAAAGATAGACCCTCCCAAATCTCCCTTACAATTGCGGCAATCTCTTACGAGGACTTCTCGTTTAAGCTCTATCAACGGGAGTCCCGCTAATGTAAAACACGGGGGGAGAAAATCGGGAATGTAAGCGAGTGCTCTCTTAAGCGAACTGACCATATATAATCTGTTAATCCGAAGGGCCTCGTGCAATAATTAGTTCGGATTAGCAAAAGGAGCGCTACATAATTACAAAATGATTATTATATTACAATTTCATTTCCGACTTTAGTATGTAAATCAATATTGCATCTTTTCATATAAGTAATTAAATTTTTTGAATATTTTCCCGTATTTACATGTAATGTTAAGTTCTGATCTTTTTATTATTTTAGAAACTTGCGCTTTTAATGAAACCGACAGAAGAATGGGGTCCAGCTCAGAAAATAGCAGAATTTAAAGCCGGCGATCCGGCAGAGGACAACACAGACTCGTTGCGAAAAAGTTCTTTTGACAATCCTTCGTTTAACGTTACTTATACTTTCGAGACTGCTATATGAATTTCTAAAGCATTAGAATATTTATAGACTTTATGTTGCGCTTCTGATTAGGAAGCTTAAGACAGATTTGGATAACACTCGATACTGCTGAAACGGCCTAGGGGCTTTTGTGCTTCCACGAAATCAATTCCTTAGAATCCTGTAACAGGACCAAAAAGACAATCAAAACGAATAGGATTCAGCCAGGATAATAGTTCCCGAAACGGACGACTCCTGAGTAATTTGGTGCAAAACTAACTCCGGAAGGATGTCGAATTTAAACGTCGACACCACTCCAAAGAGAATTATTATCCCGATAAAAGCGGACGCCAATCCTGCTACGACCCACGTTTTGCAGAAACTTGCATGAGAACCTTTTGTTAGATGGGTTACGTTCTTTGTACGTATGTAAATATGACACGCATACAGTACATATATGAAATATATATATGTATATATTTATATATATATACATATGTATATATACATATTGTCATTCCCATAAATGTAAAATCATATATGGTATGACAGTGTAGATGATCATCAGAACGATAGGTTTAGAGTTATTAAACAGCAGTATAAAATGTTTAGTTTCGACCTATCTGTGATGTCTTGGTTTAGAATATTTTGAAAATTACATAATTAAAAATTGGTTTCTAATACAAGTTGCACAATGGTGACATAATAGTATCAGATTGATATAATTTTAGTAAGTTTAGCTGCCATCTGTCTTCCTATATATATATATATATATATATAAAAGAAGATTTTTAGAACATAATTCACAAACAGAACCCCCATAATATTGAAAAGAAAAGATTTAAAACACAAATTTTATTATTTTATCTGAAATAATCATTGTTTTTGTTCAATTATAGCCAAACTTTTATATTATTATTACATTAATTGTACGTGAAACGAATAATTCCTTACTTTCTATACAGTTTCATTTTCGCCATTGATTCCGAACTTCCTCTGAACCAATGCTGAAGATAAGTATCGAGGTAAACATTTAAGCCGAGATTTAGTTTTTAATTAATTTCTTCAGCAAGAAATTAATTAAAAACAAAGTTTTCAAAAATTAAAGGTGCTTTAGTTAATCAGATTTGAATGTCGGACAAAACACCAAATTATTTCAGATTTAATTTTTATAGAATAAAGAAATTTTAACCAAAAATATTTATCTGTTTGAACTAATTTTCTCTTTTGATAAAAAAAAGAAAAACATTTTAAAAATAAATTCTTTAAACATTCGTAATTGTTTTGTAATATTTTCAATTTGAAAAATAAAAAAATAGAGTTTTATAAAAATATTTTTGCATTAAAACTTCTATTATTTTGAATCTAGGCAGCAATAAACAATTATATTTTTGGTATTGCAATAATAAAATTCCATCACGATTATATAAAAATTAATTCGTACTTTAAATTCGACAAATAAAGATTTTTGTTGGTGACTTGGTTAATATAGACTAATTATACATTTTATTAAATAGAAGTTTATTGTAAAATATCGAAATTAATTAAGCTGTCAAGATAATATGATATACTTTACTCAAATTGTATTATATTATATTATTTACTAAATATTGAAATTTTTATCTTTTGTCACATTGTGGATATCTTCATTTATTATTATTTTTTGTCTGCACCAATCTATATATTTGCTAACTTTATTACTGTCGTGGTTATTTTTTAACTGGCAACACTATAATAAAACAATCGTCTTAGTTATATCATGCTTGTAATTGTACATAATGTATATTTTCAATATTATCTCATTGTAAACAACATCAGCAAATATATATATATATAAATAAATATATATACTGTATATTGCCGTACGACCGTCATCAATGTAGTGTACATTGATGTAATAGTTGTCATTCGACGTCGTAACGCCGTAATCGAAAACTTTGAAATATCACACGCATCATTTTAGTTGTTCCCGTTTATTTATGCTCGGCATTGTATTATTTACTGTAATAGGAAATATCTTTTATTGATTAATGTAATATATAATATAAACAGATATAATAAAGAATTAAAACAAACAGTTTCGGTTAATGCTTGCATTCGATTTTTGCTTTTTGTTTTAGTGTCCGTAATTGTCAGTTTGTAATGTCAAAAGAGGGCTTATACACAAGGATNGTGTACATTGATGTAATAGTTGTCATTCGACGTCGTAACGCCGTAATCGAAAACTTTGAAATATCACACGCATCATTTTAGTTGTTCCCGTTTATAAACTCTCGGCATTAGCAAAATTACTGTAAACAAAATCGTCTTTTATTGATTAATGTAATATATAATATAAACAGATATAATAAAGAATTAAAACAAACAGTTTCGGTTAATGCTTGCATTCGATTTTTGCTTTTTGTTTTAGTGTCCGTAATTGTCAGTTTGTAATGTCAAAAGAGGGCTTATACACAAGGATATTTCTAATCCTCAAGCGGGTCCTACATTTCATTATCAACAAACAACAGAAAATTCTAGCCTATTCTGTAAATATGAAGGAAACTAACAAAACTTGGCCTGGAAAACACGGAACGTTCCTTGTATTCCAGGCTAATGTGGGGGCTGAGGGGGATAAATTAAAAAAAAACGCGACTAACGATATGTGATGTATATCGTTATCGTCTCCCTTGCCGTCTGAACTGCCGAGCGGTAACAATCAACGACATGAGTCAGAGATAGATGCCTCGTTTATAACAATACAACCCGTTTATTATACACGAAAGATGCTTACAAGATTTCCGCGATCTTGGAAATTCTACGGCGGCAGCGGCCTCTGGGTCTTCTCTCCTTTCCAAGATAGTCCCATTTTGAAGGAGTGTCCCTTGTTCGCGAATGAACAATTCCATCGACGTCTCGATGAATTTGGGACTATGCAGTCGACTTCCGTTGATGGAAAGATGTCGATCCGAGGTCGGGAGATGGAGACGAATATGGGCGCGAGACACACATACTACAATAGTTCCGTCACTTGGAACTTTCGGGAGAAGCCCTCGCATTCTTGAATGTCAGGGGTTTTATCTGTTTTCTTCCGATTCCACTTTCCGATTGGTCTCTCCTTGTTACCTGATGACAATTCGAAACCTTTCGGGGGCGCGGGAGAGGTCAAAATCGAAATTTAATTCGATCTCCAACCGGAGATGGTTGACCGACTTACATTCTTCTATTATTCAAAAGTTAGCGACGCGTTTTCATATTAAAAAAAAATCTATTTCTAACTACTATATTTTTTATGCTTCTGACACAATATAGTGCTATAAATTAAGACACTTGGCGGATTTTCTCATCTTTATTTAGTACTAAATACTAAGTACTCATCTTTATTTAGTATTAAATAAAGATGAGAAAATCCGCCAAGTGTCTTAATTTATAGCACTATATTGTGTCAGAAGCATAAACAAATAGCAAAGCACGGTTTCATATCATCAAAATACTATATTTTTCTTTAAAAAAATTATTTTAATGAGAATTTTAGTGAGGGTTCGGACCTGTCCAGAGCCTCTCACTAAGTTAGCTTCGATTGCAACCGGTGTAATGTTTAATTTCATAAATCTAGCGGGACATAAAAAATAAAGTTACTCCTTTGTGAAGCAAAACATTTTTTATAGAAACGGGAAGATTAGTACAGCTTGGCAACGCAATTACGTTCGTTTGAAAGTTACCCATGACTCGGCAAAAAAGCATCCCCGCGTTTCTTTATGCAGCGAGAGTGTAGCGAAATGACGTCACGAGCAGTATTGGACAATTAGAAACCAGTTTCAGTCTGTTCGCTGTAAAGCGCTCTGGAGCGCTGCATAAAGAAACGCGGGACATGTTATCTGCCTTAGGCCCTGTACACACTAGGCGTTTTTCAACGCGCGTTAGCTCGGCGTTTAACGCGCGTTGAAAAACGCCTAGTGTGTACAGGGCCTTATCCCAGCGTATGATTGATAACCTTTCACGTATACTTCTCAGTACACCGACTTTAATTAAAAGCCAATTGAGCCGATCCTCGTAGTTGTTTTGATATTTGTGTTGCAGTATATTTATCTGTCACTTGTGAAGGTATGTAAACGATTTTAGTTTTCTGTAGCATTTCGTAAGCATGGAGTGTCCGTTTTCAAATAAAGCTTTCGCATCGCGGATCGCTGTCGTTATACTCAATATTCAACAACAGATTTGGTTTTAGATTCAGCGATATTCAGCATTCCTGGTATCTTTTACTTAAATCTTGATTCCTCTGCTAGTTAAAAGTGATAAAAGTTTTTGCCAAAATTTATCATTACAGAAAACTTGGCCTGTACTGCAGAATGAGTCGTCATATTTCACAAGAACATTTTGGCATTTGCGTCGCAAATAGCCTCAAATTGTTCACATTTGCTATGTATGCTTTCATTCTGCAAAAATTTTAACGTCTCTTCATTGCCGGATGTGGCTGCGAAAAGTTCCAAGAAAACAAAAATAAGTAATTGTTGTTTCCAAATTGAACAAAGATGGAAGAAATGAAGACAGTATCGCAGGCGCTTTCTGCGGGTAAATTTCTCGTGGCTTAATTCTTGACGTTACCTGATGTAGTGATGAAGGCTTACCTTGTACGTCACGTGGAAGACCTCTAAAGGTATTTCAAGACTGCTGTTTGAAGACCAGGAAACGAAAGGTAAAAGATTTAATTGAAGAGAGAAGTAACGAAGAGTTAGCGACAGCAACAGAAATTCAACTACGCTGCGCTGGAAAAAAGGGACTTTGCTGCTATTGTCAGGGTTGTCTCTTGTCTCTCCTAAACGGGAAACATCGATAAAGAAGGAACTCCCTCACCTTTCCTTCTTACATATAATCTTTACTTTAAAAAAATTCAGCAACGAGTTGTGTAACTTTCAGCCAACCAATAAATAATTGCTGGTTGTTGTTAATAATATCTCATAACAGCCGGTGTTATGAGATATTATTAACAACAACCAGCAATTATTTATTGTGACAATGTCACAATGCCAGGCTGAAATTTTTAATCATATTTTTAATTAATTTTATTTTAAATATATGCTCTCCACCTCAAATTAGTAGTGTCTTACCCCTGTACTGTACATCATACTTTTCCTTTAATGATAGAGTAGTGCCGGTCATCTATATAACACCTTTCGGGGAAATATTCGAATTGAAATAACGTGATTTCCAGTTTGTATCGGATATTCGTATATAGTTAAAGCGGGCTAAGGTTTCTATATCTGGTCTCGAATTTTATCTAACTTCGTTCTCGAGATTAAGGAAAAACAGACAGACAGCGATAGTGGGAATTTGTGTGTCTACAACCTTTTCAAATTGCAGCCAATGAATATATTAAAAATTAAGGCCAGTCATATTTTAATAATGTGATAAAACCCAGAGGATTGGGACTAGGGCGGGTCAAAAACATCGAAAATACAGCTGTCCCTTGATAGTCCGACGTTTTGTAATTCGACTTGCTCAGTAGTCCGACGCACCTCCCGTCAAGGTACCCGTCCCCGTTGTGTGTCTGCTTGCACAGAAGCATGTCGCGATGTGAATCTCCCCACCCAATTCTTACACGATGACACACATTTCGTGCGTTTTCCGTGAGCTGTTCTGTTCGAACAGTTGGCGTAGAGAGTATTGTAGGCTACTGCTAGCAAAACAATGCCAAATATGTAATCACTTTCTGTAATCCGGACACTTTTGGTAATCCGACACCCCTTTGGTCTCATACCTGTCGGATTATCAAGGGACAGCTGTATACTAAAAACGGTTTTTTCGATCGCTTTATGAACTTTCATTGTATTTCGTAGTAAGATATCGTTTCACACCGTCGTATCGATGCAAAATGCGACTTTTTCTATCACACGGTTCTGTAAAATGTTTACAAGTAGAACGCATTGCATTTCGTCAGTTTCGATCGTAAACAGGAATTAGCCTCCAGTATTTAATATAGTAGCAAACATTATAAAATAGATAAAGAAAGACGGAGGATGTATTGAAAAAAGTTAAAAGGGCAAGTGTAAGCGGGAATATATAATTCATTTTTGCCATTAATACGCACGACAGTCACAATATTTCACAATATCGAAACACAGGTAATGGTTATTTACATATTAACGAGTATACAAAATTTCAACATTTTACAACGTCTTGTACCTATAGTTTCGTTCGATTCCAAAGTTCACGCTCACGTAACACACTCAAATAAAATTTATACATTAATTTTAAATAAACAATAAATAAAATTATCAGAGAGAGAGATTCTGCGAGAAGTTATAAGTGCGCAACTGCAGAGGGAGCGAAGGGGTGGGAAGAATAAAGTGCTCACGCGCAAACATGAAGATGGCCGTCGGAAGTGTCTAGTGAGCATATGCGGATGTGGCTAACACGTGAAAGATCGAGGATGGAAGTGGCCATACTTGAAGATAAAAATTTTTGGCAACTACTGCACCGAGCGCAGAGGCATGATAGACTAGCGCTATTCGGTTATATCGACGTAAACTTGCACACAAACGCAAACTACGAAACACCCAGGAACCATATTGCAAATACACACCTCAGACTGTCATAGGAAATAATATAATCATAGATCAGACGTGGCATTAGCTGAAAAATCAAAAAACTTATCCATCATAGACGCAACTGTACGAAACACCCTCAACATCTAAAATACGTACTGTACAGTACACCTGATAAAATTAGTAAATACTCAAAATTTTCCTACAAATTAAAGCATTTATGGAGAACGGTTAAAGCACATATTGTGCCTTTCTTGCACGGGCATCATACCACAACGCTACGTCATGATCTAGACACGTCCGGACAGCACATACGTCACGCTAAAGTAGGTTGCCACATTGAAGACACGTCACATTGTTGGGTAATTCTTACACACAGATACATACGCGAACAGCACGTAAATAAAATAATAGCTTGTTTCGTGGCTAAACTTTGACTTCGGTCAGGTATAACATTAAGCCAGACAGCCTTACATCTCATGCTCAAAACTCTTCCTTAGCGATAAAATAGGGTGGCTGAACCACTGTAAATATCGATATTTTTTATTTAAAGAGGGTAACATTAAATGTCGAAGAATATTATGATAGAGTATATCGAGGAATGTGGTAAACACTAACAAAAAAGGAATTGCGAAAATATTTTGTTACAAAATGTCATTAGAGAGAAAAATAATTGAAATTTATACAGGGTGTATCAGAATGACATTTTAAAAATTTGGGTGATTGTAGAGGATGAAATTTTGAATGTTTTGATATAAGAAACTCATAGCTGGAAATGTGATATAAAGTTTCTACAGCGGTAGGAAGTGCTTGACCTCCCTTCACTTTGGTAGCTACCTTTCCGTCCATTGACGTCATGTTATTGTTCTTCACTTCTTCCTCTGAGGTTATGTAAAGTCCCTTGTGTACGCAATACCTGTAGGAACAGTTCATGAATTTACGGAGCGCATCTTTACAGCATTTAATACCATCAGAGGGGAGCGTGGTATTTTACGGAGAGTCGGACAAAACGTGGTTCGTTGTTGCACATCATGTAACGAAGTTGGTGGTCGTCATATTGAACAAAGTAATGCAGTCACTGATTCGATGTACAGTTTGATTGTACTCTACTATTTTGCCAATGAAACTTGTCATAAATACTGTATTCTGCTGTTTCATTCATCATACCGACTGCAAAGTGCAAAGTGCTATAGAAACTTTATATCACATTTCCGGCTATGGGTTCCTTATATCTAAACGTTCAAAATTTCATCCTCTACAGTCCCCCTAATTTATAAAACGTCATTCTGATACACCTTGTATATTAAGAAGATATAGTTAGGCAGAGTACCAAACTCGTCTTTTCTCGAGTATAAAGTTCAAGATTCAGCAGATAACTAGGCTGAATGTCATCAGACTGACTTATATTCATTGAAATTATATCACTGCCATCGTACTGCATTAGCAAATTTTTTATTGTTAATTTGTTAATACAGTAGAACCCCTCTAATCCGTCACCTTTGGGACTGGGGGTATGGTCGGAACGCAAAAAAGGTCGGATTATCAGAAAAAAGTAAAATAAACAATCTTCCCCTTTGTCCAGTCTTTGTAGCACTGCTAATTTTTCATTTAATGAAAGAGTAACGTGTTTACGTTTCACTCCTGACATATTGAAAACACACACAAAACTGTACATGTACACACAATGTAAAACATATATTGTAACGAACACAGAAAAACTCCACGGACGGTGAGTCACCGACGAGTCGGGACAAGTTTCTCGACTCCGACCACGGTCGGATTAACCGGAGTGACGGACTAGCAGAGGGCGGACTAGAGGGGTTCTACTGTAATTAAAAAGCCAACAACGAGTTTCTCAACTTTCCCGGCAATATTTGGTGACGCCATCTGTTATCATATTTTATTTAAAAACCTTTTAATATTTTTAACTATTATAAAATGGCAAAAAGTTTAATTTTCTGGGTACGGATCAAGCTTCACACAGGGTGAACTAAATCGTGACCCCCACACTCACACCCATACATACAGAAATTATCCCCGAATTTTTTTGCATTTCTCGATTTTTCTAGGTCCCCGAGTCCAAAAACGTAAAAATCTCGGGGGTCATTTTTTGACCGACCGCCATACTTTACCTCTTATATATAACAGCCAAGAAAGTAAAAATGCGAAATAAGATTTTCGAAAAGAGCATTTTGCGAGTGTTTCGTTTTCGGTTTTCGCTACAGCTATTCTACATTTCCTTTAATTAAAATGAACTTTCTTTTATCTACATTTAGCCTTATTAGAGTAAATATCCTCAATAGCAAATCGATTATTTTCCTCGCATTGTAAAGAGCGTTTTCCTCCAATTCTAAGAAGTGCAGTGGGCAGGTTAATTGTGATAAATTTTCCATTCTCCGACTGCCAATGACTAATTCTACAAATTTTCTTTCTTAGAACATTTCGTAAAACGAATAAGGGTAGAAAAAGTTGTTACGTTAGTCACAGAGAGGAAAAACCTGGGGTCAATCTTTTGTAGCTCCTCGGTACTGTACTGTACATTAACAAAAAGACAAAACGGCGCTAAACAATAATTTGTATTGTACTTTTAAATAATAAAATTTGACAAAAATAAGGGGGTTTATTCCCCTTAATACACCAGAAATGCAGTGGAACGAATCAGTGGTAACAAACGTTTGATGCTTCCCTAAATATTGGGCTACGTTTTAAATACGAGCCCTAATTTCGAGGACCCGCATTTAAAACGTAATATACGCGGGCCCTACCTGACCCCTAGAGATAGGACCCGCGTATATTAATTGATAACGGAATTTTGGAAGTTACACATGTTATCAGGTTACTCCTTTTAAATCGAATGATAATTTTTATAAAATATTTTATTCTGTATTATAAAAAATTGCATTATTACAAGATACATAAAGTACACAGCTTATTATTTTTTCTACTTTCGTTTAATTAAATAATAAATATATAATATTTTATATCGTTTCAAAGAAAATAATCACGTTAAAGAAGGAAGTAAAACATTATTTACAGCCTTATAGCAAAATAGCTTATTTCCTTTCTACAGAATTTATTTATTAAAAATGAAATTAATATTGGAGAAATTATTTAAATTTTTTAAAATTTTTATCAGCTTAAAAAATTCAAAAATTGCAAGGATTTACTGCGATAACGGGACTTAAGAACAGCGCACAAATATAAGAAAACGAAAGACAATTTTGAATCATTTTGAATATGAAATGAGCCCGTCATTGGTCAAAACTTTTACAATCTCTTTTATAAATATCCAATGACAGGTGATTTAAAGTACGGCACGTCATTTTGACGTCATTCACCCTCGTGGTAAACACGTTTCTTTTAATCATTACATTCATTCGACTTTTACTTTCCCCGTAATCGGAAGTTTATTCGTAATATTGTAGCAGGTAAGTCACGCAGCTTTTTATTAATAATTACGTAGAATACTTTTATAATGTTTAATAATATCGTTTCAACTCTATTAATATAAGGATAAGCGGAGACAGAATGTGGAGTAGCGAGCGACTAAATATAGAACTGTTGGTCCTTGTAGGGAATTAGTGCTTAAGCGAGGACACCAACAAGCTGTGGGTGGATTGTTTATATTATATTTTTGTATATTTATTCAAAATATGCGCTTTATTAAACAAAAATTGCTTTATAGTATTTTTTCCTAGGGTTCGAACTGTAAGCTCTTGTAGTATTTAGTGTTATAAACGTCTAGTGTATACACGTCTTAGTTAATTGCTTATTCGGTTTGATGTTTTTTACTATAAAATCTCATTAAAATAATTATTTGAAGGTTTTAACGTGGCATTTCTGGTCTTTTTGATGAAGTGGTTTTGTTAAAATTGATGAGAGTTCATTAAGAAAGACTCATTTGTGAAAGCCAACACTTATTTTAAGAATGATTTATGTTCATTTGAAATTTTACTTTTGTCTTTTTAAATATTCGAGATAGGACTTTTCTTAGAAAACTGCTAATTAATTTTAAAATAATTACACTTTATAACATTCGTGTAATTCATTTCAATTAATTACGTTTTAAATCAGATTTTTAAACATCAAACGAGTGAGTCATTAAGAAAATATTTCTTGTCTGTGAAATCGCTTGTTTCCTTGTTATGTATTTAAGAAAATAACGTTAAGTTTTAGTGATAAAGTAAACGAAAATAATTACTAAATGTAAATAATGTTAACAAATATTAGTACAGGATGTCAATACACTCGTTTCCATCTTTAACACTCATTGAACCTGACGTCATACTACCGCTTTCAGGTGACTTAAGGTGTAATTAATGAACTCTCTCAGCCAAAAACTTTACGCCAGGTAAACGCTCAGGTTTTCTAAAAACTTATTTTTATATTTAAACCCATTTTTCCATTTATAATTTTCCACTCTCGACGCTTCCGTTAAACTTACTTTCCTAATTTCCATAGTAAAATTAAGGCGTGTAGACTCTTGTATTTATTTATAAACTTATATATAATAAAAATAGAGTTTTTATTATATATTAACTAAAAATTTCTCTGGCGTATACTCAGGTATTTCAGTCTTGTAAATGCTGATGCTATTATGCTATTAATACCTTTGAGAATGTCTTATTTACATGAAAAAGTCATACTTTTATATAAATTTTGGGTATTTATAGTATTTGGGTATAAATGTAAGCAAGTAATAGAAAAAATCAATTCTGAACTTAGTTGTATACACTACTCAGTTGAATAAGTAATTATATGTTAAGTATATGATTCATACTTCCGAAACTAATCTCCATGCCTAAAAAATAAAGAAGAAATATTAATAATTGCAAACTAGGCAATGTTACTAATAGTAAATTTTGAATATAAGAGCTTTATTTATTGTTTAATTAAGACTTTGGAAGGTTTTTATTCACAGCAATTATATAATTTAACTAATTATTACAATACTCATACTTTAATTTAAGAAAAAAATATATCATCAAACGGATTTTCTTTTTATTATTAAATTAAAATATTTTTAAGAAGGAAAATAATTAAAATAAACTTAAAAGAAATCCTTTCTATAAACATTTTTATGGCTGTTCATTATCGAACATGTTTTTGTCGATTTTGAAATAGAAAATTGTGAAATTGGTGCTCTTTATTTTTAGCATTTCATATATTTTGGCATTCTAAAAGTATAAACTATTCAAACTTTGGCATTTAAAAGTTAAATTATTGTTCTGTCAGACTCCATTAAATTACGTCTACATTAAAATAAAAACAAAAATTACACTGTACGTATGGATATAAGTAACACGCGCTTATATCGAAATTACATCACACGAATAAAAAAAAATCACTGTATGTAAATAAATATATTTTAGAAATGTAAATAAACTCTATATACGGTTTGCTATTAAATTATAGTAGATAAAAAAATTGTAAGAAATTTTTAACGGCCTTTTTTTAGTGTATGAGATAATGAAATTTAATATCGATTTCAAGTCATTTATTTCTACCCACATGCGGTCTAAACACGAAACTTTAAAGTTTTGCAACATTAAATAAGTGTAATAGATACACCCCTTACTAAATTTAGAACTATTAACGATTAATGAATTCGTCTAAGAAAGTATTGAGTCACGCATCTAATTTTCACACATTATCCGGATTAGAACCGTACGCATTTTTACATTTCGTTTGTAAAGAGGATGTATTTATGTTTAATGAATTGTCACCTTCGCCGATGCAGAAGTTACAACAGTTTAAATGTCGATTATTCATTTTAATCAAGGTAATGGAATACTCTAAAAAGTTATTTGCATATTATACCTACTTTTTGCGCCGTTAATTAATAATTACGATGTTCTTTCTACTTAAAAAATAATCGGAAAAAAAAAGTTAAAAACGGATCAAATGTTGATTTTTTTAGAAAATTTAAGCAAAAAGAAATCATTCTTTGAACTTAATTGGTGTATTAGATAGTTAGTAAAGTATATAATTGCAATTTTTAATCATTAATCTGCTTTAAAATTATTGTAATTAATAAAAGAAACAAATATAGGTGAAATTATATATGCGATCAATTTTTTTTTTTAAAGTTTGGCAGCCATTTTGAAACGATTTATAGAGTAAAATTCGGTATAATATTTACGTTTCAGGGGTTATAAGAAGAACACACTTTTAAAATTAAATTCAGAGCTTCGATATATTCGGAGATAAAATCGAAATAATCAATAAACAAAGCGAAAACAATAAGTAATTGTAAACTTGCCGAAATAGTTTAACACAATAAACACAATCGTTTTAAAGTACGGCGAAATTACGTATTTAATTTTAAAGATCCATTTATATGCACGGCTGGTACGGGGAGGAAAGACTAAACTGGGGAAGGGATCGAATTACGGGCCTTCTGACAATTTTGGCAGAATTCTCAGAGGGTCAAAGGTTACGAGTCCCTGGGCAAATTTTGATCACACCACCAGATCAAAATTTGTCAGAAGACCGTAAGAATGACGACCGGTTCTGACTTTATGGTATAATATTTTATAAATATCTGGGTTTTTTCATTGACAAAACTTAAACGTTTCAGCGCTTTAATTGGAAAATAAAATACTGTATATAAATTTTCCTTTATCTTTTCACTCCATGGCTTGGCTTCATATGTGTCGTATGTGTTAGAAAGGAATTTAAAAAAAACAAATAAAAAAACAATTAGGCAGAGAAGAGTAAAATTCACACGATTCCTTCTACAGATGGCAAACTGAAACTTTAGTAATTTGAGTCTTTTTTATTTTTTAACTTTTTTTCTTTTGCTGGTTCACACTTCAAAATCAAAGCAAACGTTGTATTACGTAAGAATAAAAATGGGATGTGAGCAATATTTAATGGCTGGCACTATAAATTAATGGAACATTTCAAGAACACGACTCTATAGTTTATTATTAGTTATGTCATTTTCCGTAAAAATGTAAGAAAAATCAATTTGTTACAGAACGTGGCTGTCAATTCGTTTTTGAAATTATGTAACAGAAATTTAGTAGGATACGAATTTTTTACGAATTTTCTTCGCAGATGTTATTGCTATTCCTTGTCGACGTCACTTTATATTTAATATTTATTATTTTCTCCAAATTTTACTGAAATAAATAAAATTCTTAACCCGGAATACGAGCGTACGTCTGACTGCCTTACGAAATGACATTAATATACTTTGTCGGTGGCCGAAAGCCAAAGATATGACCTGAAACTCCTCTAAAACTATTGTTGTATTACATTTCCTTTCTTATCGTTTTTCTTCGTCACACGTTTACTTTTAGTTTGATCATCTGTGCACGTGTCGATCGGTGGGTTTACACAAATTCTGGCTCTCCTTATGAATAATATTAAGCCTAATTCTATCCAATACTTAATTTGTATAATATGCAAATATTCTACTTATGTTGTCATTTACACGAGTTATATTATTTTGGTTCGGAGCTACGGGAGACCACATGACACGGATTATAGGTTATTTATTGCGTCGAATTTCTCGTATATTAGAGAGGTGTAAAAATACTTTTTAAATGTTATACAATTTTTTAACGTCGCTGTGGTTTTAACATATTGGGAACTTCATAAAAATTAATAGTTCGGGCCTCCGAAACTCACCGTAATTCATAAACTACGATGTGGCCCTGTCGTTACGAAATTACTATATAGGCCTACATATAGGAAGAGTGACCGTTAAGGTAATAATCGAATTTACTTAAATTGAATCGAAGCCTAAATTAAGTAAATCAATTGCCCGCAGCCCTTAAAACCCCACGAAAGACACTGAATTTTCGTGTTATATTTTTCTGGACCGTTCATTCTATCCTCGCACGTGGATTTCGTCGAAATGCGAAAAATAAACACGCTTCTGATACCGCATTTAGTTTCAAGGACTTTATAGGAATGGGCATTGACAAGTTTATTTAAATTGTACAGTGGTGGACCCCGAGTCTAGCCCGAGAGTGGCGCCTGGTTAAAAATTTCCAAGTGTTTAAATCGGATTTTGTCAAAGAACTCTTTAAACTGATATCTCCATAACAGTTTATTCCTTGTTTTCTTTCTATTATTATATTTAATCTACAATTATTCTATATAAGTGATTCTTTGTTTTCTTTAAATATATTTTCTTTATCTCAAAAAAAAAAATATTAGAGATTATTTTGTATAATTGTAATTTATGAGACCTTAAAATATTTAATATCTTAAACAATAAAATCAGATTTTTTTTTACTTTACATTATATTATAGTTTTATTTTATTGGATAATTTCATTTTACTAAATTAATCTTTGTTAATTGTTTCATCTTTTTTCTATTGATATTTTATACTTTTGTTGTTATGATTATTTTTGGAAAAAGTAACAAAAGATGATGATAATATTCTTATTTTAAAAAAAAAATTAAATGAAAACAATTAAAATTTATTTATGAAAGAAAACTTCATTAAAAAGAATTATTAAAATTTTTTAAAGGTTTATTTAACAAAGAAATTGGAGTACAACAAAGAAAGGGTGAGTGTTTTACATATAAATATTTTCTTCTTATTGTTTTATAATGATTAAATTATAAATTAAATCATAAAATAAGATGTCAAATTTATAAAACTCCAAATTTTTTCTATATACTTCAAATATACTATATTATATTACTTTATGCTCTATTAAAGTAGTATATAAAGTTTATATAATTTAATATTGAGACAATTGAAAATAAATTCTTTTTTGGATTAAAAATTTAATAACAAATTTTTAAATGATTACCTTGGAAGTATCATTTGATATGCTTTTAAGAGTATAAACGTAAAAAAGAATTTTTTTTAAAAAAAATTAANCTAGAACTGTAAGGCTACCAGTTAAATAAATAGAATTTAAGAATTTTCTTAAGAGAAATTAATAAATGGAATGGAATATTTGTTATTTTCATTTCAGCATAGAAGGGGGAGAGTTGTTCGAAAGGATTATCGACGACGATTTTGTTCTAACGGAGAAGGCCTGCAGTATCTTTGTCAGACAAATCTGCGAAGGACTCGAATACATGCATAGCAAAAATATTCTTCATCTGGATATGAAAGTAATTATCTTGTTAATTACAGTTTAATTTGGGCATAAAAGATAAATTTCCTGAGGCCCACAAACCGATTTTTTATAAGAAAATATTTCCCCTAAAAAATTCCCTTCAAGAAGTGGACACTGTACGCGAGACCCCTAATTCAAATTTATCTGGTCCCCACGAAGCTATACCGCTCCAGTTTCCGAAAATAATCTTTAAAATTTTATCCATACAGAAAATTTTTCAAAAATATCCATATTTATGCCCCTGCCACCACAGTCAATTATTTAATTATAATAAACAGATAATAAAATAAACATTTTTCCCAGCCAGAAAATATATTATGCGTGACTCGAACCGGAAACAGGATTAAATTAATAGATTTTGGTTTCGCAAGGATATTCGAACCGGACAAAAAACTACAGGTGCTGTTTGGCACGCCCGAATTTGTGGCACCGGAAGTTGTTAATTTCGACATGATCGGTTACGAAACCGATATGTGGAGTGTGGGAGTCATATGTTACGTCCTGTAAGTAATCGTCAGTTAAATAAATACTAATCTAAGGATTATCGTGAAAGGAATTAATAATTATCCTAATTTAGATTATCGGGATTATCGCCATTTATGGGAGATAATGAACTGGAAACGATGGCCAACGTTATATTGGATCATTAGAATAAGTTGAGAGATAAATTAATAAACTAATATACACTAAAAAAAAAAAAATGTCTTTTAAGGGTTATTTTGAAATAAATTATTAGAATTCCTGAATTGAAATGATTACAATTTTTATACTTAAACTATTTGTTTTAGGTATGTTAGAAATTAAGTTAAAATTAAATTAATTATAACTACTTTTCATTGAAAGAATAAGGGTGGCCCAAAAATAGGATAACCATTGTAAAGAAACTACTAACTTAAACGGTGAATTTTAATTAATTTTTATCGTCTTTCTACTAATTTCATAAACTGAAAAATACAAAACATGGTTAACCGACTTTTGGCCTGCCTTAAATAATATTCATATTAAACTAGGCTACAATAAAACAGAATTAATTTTATAAACAATGCGAAATATCATAATAATAAAAAAAATATTTTTACATTTTTAATATGATTAAATTTTTTAATGTAAATTAAATTTTTTTGTGCAATATTTCAGACCTAAAGTCCAAATCATGATTTATGTGGACGAAACAGACCCAGACGGAGGTAAATTTCTTTTACTTTTCCATATTAAATATATGGTGCCATCTGTTGTCAAAATTTATAAATATTTATTTATAAATAGTGTAAATTATTCGGTGCAAACACGAAAGTAAAATAATACCGGCTAAAATGACAATACATTTTAATGGTGTTTTAGTGGCTAAATTGACAATACATTTTAATGGCACCATTTCCATCATCTTCCCCACTTCGTAATTCGGTAAACATAACCAAATGTGGAATTTAATCATTATGTGGTGTGTACGTAATGTGTGTATGCGCAATGAACTATAGTGATGTATAGGCTGGGGTGATTCTATCTTCTATCTCGAAAAAATACGACTAATAAAATATATTTTTAAATGTATTTAAATTATTTGCTTTAAAAGATATTGTTAGGGTATTGTAGAGTTTCGAAGAATTAATTACAAGTGTTCTTTCTAACCAGAAATAAATATACTACAAATATTATATAACTTCAGTTGAAATATGCGGTCGTTATTGACAATTTTCTAGAGATTTTGACATATTAAATTTTCGAATCGTCTTTCTAAAAAAAGGGATTCCAACAAAGGATTTTCTCAGAAACTACTCTATAAATATGATTTATGCAAAAACGTCTTGGTAATCCGTCCATTTAACAGTTTATTTAAATATTATTATAATGAATTATAAATTATATATTTTATTTATTTTATTAGAATTGGAACCACCCTTCGAGCCAAAAAATGTAACGGTTAAAAAAGGAACCGATGTAAAAAGTGAATATTCTTTGCACGAAGAATTAGGAAAGTGAGTTTTATTTACTTGGTAATTATTAAACACGCAAAACTAAATTTTATTATTAATTTACTTTATTTTTACACTGTATTTTTGCCTCAATTGAAAATAATTCGATTTTAATCGCATTTAGAAACTAATATATGATATTTCATGAGGTTAAGATTACTTTTAAGTTTGTTTTTTCCTCGGTATTTTAGTGTATTAGCTTGTTTTCTAGTACTTACGTAACATTGTGAACTAATTATAGAGGAAAATTTGGAGTGGTGTACAGATGTACCGAGAAGACGACGGGTCGCCAGTTGGCGGCAAAATTTATTAAAACAATTCGAGCCGAAGATCGTAAAGAAGTGGAAAGAGAAGTAGAAATCATGAGGTATCTTCAACATCCTCGACTTTTACAGTTATACGACGCCTTCGACGACGGAAAAAAAGAAATGTGTTTGGTCCTAGAACTGTAAGGCTACCAGTTAAATAAACAGAATTTAAGAATTTTCTTAAGAGAAATTAATAAATGGAATGGAATATTTGTTATTTTCATTTCAGCATAGAAGGGGGAGAGTTGTTCGAAAGGATTATCGACGACGATTTTGTTCTAACGGAGAAGGCCTGCAGTATCTTTGTCAGACAAATCTGCGAAGGACTCGAATACATGCATAGCAAAAATATTCTTCATCTGGATATGAAAGTAATTATCTTGTTAATTACAGTTTAATTTGGGCATAAAAGATAAATTTCCTGAGGCCCACAAACCGATTTTTTATAAGAAAATATTTCCCCTAAAAAATTCCCTTCAAGAAGTGGACACTGTACGCGAGACCCCTAATTCAAATTTATCTGGTCCCCACGAAGCTATACCGCTCCAGTTTCCGAAAATAATCTTTAAAATTTTATCCATACAGAAAATTTTTCAAAAATATCCATATTTATGCCCCTGCCACCACAGTCAATTATTTAATTATAATAAACAGATAATAAAATAAACATTTTTCCCAGCCAGAAAATATATTATGCGTGACTCGAACCGGAAACAGGATTAAATTAATAGATTTTGGTTTCGCGAGGAGATTCGAACCGGACAAAAAACTACAGGTGCTGTTTGGCACGCCCGAATTTGTGGCACCGGAAGTTGTTAATTTCGACATGATCGGTTACGAAACCGATATGTGGAGTGTGGGAGTCATATGTTACGTCCTGTAAGTAATCGTCAGTTAAATAAATACTAATCTAAGGATTATCGTGAAAGGAATTAATAATTATCCTAATTTAGATTATCGGGATTATCGCCATTTATGGGAGATAATGAACTGGAAACGATGGCCAACGTTACAAAAGCCGAATACGATTACGACGACGAAAATTTTGATAATATTTCGAACGAAGCTAAAGATTTTATATCCAAATTGTTAATAAGAGATAAAGAGTATGTATATATATATGTATTAACCGTAAGTTAATTGTAATTTATTTATTTATTTACTAATTAATAATATCAGTTCTGGTTTAACTAGTAAAAGAATGAGTGCTACGCAATGTCTCGAACATCCTTGGCTCAGGGTAAGAGGAATACTTTATAATTTTATGCAATTTCTAATGATATTAAATTATTATTGTTGTACTGATCGTAATTAGTGTCGAATACAATTAATTATTAGGCTAGCATTTATAAATATTGTTTTTAACCTTTTTTAAAGCGTGATAAGAAGAAAGAAGAAACAAAATTAGACAAGAGCAGGTTAAAGAGATTTGTCATTCGAAGAAGATGGCAGGTATAATTGACTTAATATTATATTTTTTTATTATATTAATATTTTATTCAGTAGAAAAATTATCAAAATAAAAGCTTTTTAAAACAATTTTTCCATTTTTTTAAAAACAGAAAGCTGTCAATGCTCTAGTAGCTCTTAAAGCAATGGGGGCCATTATATAAACAAATAATGTACATAAAGGTATGAATTTTTTAAAATTTGTTATATTAATGTAATGTTAATAGCTAAGTAACGTTATTAATTTAATTTTTTTCTTAATTATTTCCCTGTTAACAGAAGGATAAATGATGACCGAATAGAAAAGCATGTCATTTATTTTTGATAATTTCGCGAGTTACCTCTGATTTGTCCACGAATATCATGTTTCGGAATGAAAAAAAATGTTCAACAATATGTACATTGTTTATATATAATTTAAATTTAATTATTATTATTATTATTAATAGTTAGTTAAATTTTAACGCCTTAACGAGAATATATAATTACGTATCAGTTTTATCACCCGTTAATTAGTAAGTCAAAAGAATTAGTTCTAAATTTTAGCTGTTTATAATTATATTGTAAGTCTATAATATTCATTTACGATTATATTTTTATTTTGCTGTCTTTATAAATGCTTTAAAAATATAATTCCTGTATATAAAAGTCATTCGCGTAAATTATGTAATACAATTATTTCGATTAATTACGATTAAAAGTTTATTTTATTATAAATAAAAATATGTCTAGGCATTTATTTACTTTATAGGAGGAAAAAAAACTTGGAATTTTGATTGGAATAAATACTTTTTATATGAAAGATTGCATTTTATTAATTTTCCTTTCGATATAATTTTATATCTACATCAATATTTTCTTTTTGTATACATTTTGGGGATTATAGGAGATATCCAAATAGGATACAAAGGACTTTCATCAAATTCTAAATGATATATTTTAATGTTTGTTACCGGATCTTCCTATTCTTGGCGTTAACATTGCTCTTCCTATGCGAGGATTTAGGGCTCTCGTCTTGATTTCTGAATCGGATCTTCCAATTCGGGGTGGGTCTAACTGGCCCCGTTTGCTGACGTCGCCGCAAATTTCGTTCCTTTTACCAAATCGTGCGCCGGGAATTAACTGTCGAGTCGATCGATCCAAGTTGTCTTCCCAGTTTGATTCCTCCGCTTCCTGATCGTAATCGATCGATCTCTTTTTTCGACCGATTCTAGGCTTTAAGGATACGATTCTCTTTGAAAAGGGGAATAAAATATAGGAGGGCTCGTGATGATCGGTATCTTCTAGGAAATCCCAAGTATCATAAAATGATCTTCCGACTCTTGGAAATGGTATTAGTTCTTGTCTCTTGCCCACTCGAGGAAATGGAATTAAACCTTTTGGTTTTTCTCTTTCTTTCCATTCGGAATCTGATCTTCCCACTCTTGGGAACGGAACTAAATCTTGCCTTTTATCCTCTTCGTAATAGTCAAATCCTAAAATGTCATTTAAAAAATTAATTCTACCGGTATTTAAATAATAAAACGAGGAACTATTTAAAGGTAAACAAAGATAAAACACGGTTCGGGTATAAAGGTCAGACTGGGTTTTATTTCTTACTTAAATTCATTAAGTTACGTCTTAATTCTACTCATTTTGGGTGGGCCTAAACTCGGAAAGAGTTAGCCAAGTTGAACGAAGGGCGAAGAAAAAGCCAGAAACCAAAATTATCCACGAAAAAAGCAATTTGGTAAGTCGGGATCGTACTCGAATCCAACCCATGACTGTGGCGCGTTATGGGTTCACGGGTCTGAGAGGAATTTGAATTATGGGGCGCCCATTTATAGTATTGAATTCAGACATTTTAGGGGAAATAGTTTCTTATAAAAGAATGGTATGGGAGCCCCCAGTCGGTGAAGGCCCCAGACAATTGGCCTCGGGATAATACGCCACTCGGCGATAGATGAATATCTTATCAAGCGGTTAGTTAAGAACTAGATTTAATTTAAACGTCGATTAAAATATAAATCTTTACACAATATGCAAATTAAATTTTCTGCATTCTAAAATTAAAAAATTCGGGAAAATCACTCCAAGCCACTATTTAGATAAATACAATAAAATAAAGATATTTACCAGAACACCAATCGACATAAATAAGGCATAAACTTATCACAAATAGGTATTTGAGTTGTAACATGGTCGACGGTAGGAGTGTAAGAGGCAACGATGTTTCTTGTTCACCGTCTCTGCTCTGGATGAGAACCTTGCGCTCTCGCAACTTATATATATATAGATATTTATGTATGGGTCTACGAGGAGGTGGAGTAAATCTTATCACATTCAGCCGTATCGGCGTGTTCGAAATGAAAACGAATAGAGGATTTAATATCGCGGATGTCCCGAACCCCCCAAACTAGATTAAATGTTGTGTTGACCATCAAACCGGCAAAGCAATTGGTTCCCGGATGAAAAATTTTCCTCCGAGGAATCATCTGGTTAGTTGAAAGATTGGCGTGGGGATTACTTCCATTGCAATATCGAACCTCCATGGATTACCTTTAAGTGCTAACGGCTAATCATTGTATAGGGGATACATAATTGTCACCATTATGACGGCTCGTTAACCACGGGTAACAAGACGAATGTTTTTTAGTCTTGAAAGCCTACTTTTTTAATCATCCGCCCAGTAAAAGATGTAAATTTAAATTAAAAGTTAAACGGATGTGCCTTTGTAATATAAAAAGGATTTCCTTTTTTTCAATTTATGGCTTTCATTTTGATTGAATTTAGATTATTTTTTGTTAAGTTAATCCCGAAGTTCGGTCCGAATAAAAAGGAGGTGATAAAATAGAATTGAAATTTTTTTTTACCCGACTAAAAATAGTTTTTCTTTGGGGGAAATGTTTCGAATTTGAATTATTACTTTTTAAAAGGATGTTGTGGCAAAAGATCGTTCGAAAGAACTCCAAAGACTATTAAATAATGGCCTTGTAAAAATGTTTTGAAAGAATACAGATAAGGCGTATCGTAATACATTTTCATTAATTCTTTCATATACGAAATGACAGCTAAATCAACAAATATTTCTCGTGGCATAGCTATTTTTCTTTATTTTCACTTCTTGGCAAACCGTACACGTAAACAATATCCTTGTTGATGCCTACCAGAAATTTTTCAATAAATAATAGCTTATTTATGTAGTATATTTTTACACATTTTCAATTGTCAACTATCAGAAAAAAACACAAGAAAACGCTCTCGAAGATATCATAAAAGGAATCTTATTCAATTTTCCAAATATAAATATAAATTAATTGAATATGGAGAGGTTAATTAAGAAAACTCTTAAATTACTTTTGTTTTTCTTTAAATTTTTCTTTTTACTTTGAATTATCCAATATTTTCACATTTATCTATACTTTAACAACTATAAAATAAATTTTTTACCTTAATCTTTATTATTTATATAAGTAAACAATTTAAAAATATATAGAAAATTGTGAAAGTCAACTTGTTTAATTTTTTTTCTTTTTTTTTAAGTAATGTATAAAAGAAATTTATTTATATATATGTATATATAAAAAGTTTTTAAGAGAAAATTTTAGTTAAATTTGTTAGAAAAAGTGGAAGGAATATAGTGTTTTTTTTATAAACAAACTGTTTTTTTTTCCTGGAATTGAAAGAAACAATGAACAACGGCTCTCGTGGGAATTATGTATTTTTGTGAGAGTTTATTCTTGTAATTTTCTTTTCAAAAACAAGAAGATAAACTCTACTAAAAATAATTTTAGGTTTGAAGATTTGCCATCGACAATTAAAACGAATATGAATTATTTTTAAAAGTATAAAATGTCATTAATTTAAATAAATTATTTAAATTAAAAAGTCTTGTGTAATTTGATAAACAGTTAAATTCGTTATAACTTGTAGCTTTAAAAAAAAATATGAAAATTTTTGCAATAAGAATAGGGTAAGGTTTTATGTTCAGAATTTATTTTAGGATAAAAACAAACATTAAATTTAAATACAGAAACAAAATTAATTTTAAAATATAAAAATACACATTATTTGCTAAGATATTAATTATATTTGATTAAATATTATTTTAAACATTTTATTATTATTAAATATTTACCATAAAATTATATATGTTTTAGATTTTAAATGTATCTAAAATTATATTTATTTAAAATGTTGAAGGGATTATTGGATTAGCATTATTTATGTACTGTACCTTACATTGTTGTTTACATGTATTTTGAAAATTTTATAAAATCATTTAACAAATATTTTGAATTAAAAAAACACACACACAAACACAAAATTTGACAAAAAGCCTGTGTTTATACTCTAACATATACACTTGCCAGTTTTAACACATAAATAAAGAAGTAACACTAAGAATTTCTGCAAGATATGAAATGTTTATGCTCTTTCTAATAATATTTATCACAGTTTTAATGACTCTTTTATTATATAAAATATTATATATAAGTCTAAACGTAATAATTTTCTGGTAAAATATAGTCTACATCAATAAAAAATATAGAAATCATAAATTAATTAGTTATTTTTTAAATTAAAATGTTAAACATCATAGTGTTAAAATTATGTTAAAAACATAAAGAAAAGAGCACGAAACACTAGAAAAATCAATATCATCATCATATACAAGCTTGAAATTATACATTAGCATGTGTTTAGTGTTTAATTAATATAAGCATTACTTGTTCTCAGAATAATTATATTTTCATATTATATTATGAATTCTAGGACATCTTTTTCCATAAAAAGATGATAAGTTGTAACCTCAGCTAAGTATAATAAGATCTGTATATAATTGGATAAAACGAAAGGCCTAGTGTGTTATCAATCACAAAATTGTAATTAATAACATGTAATTGAGAAAAAGCCTGTGTTTATACTCTTTAACATATATACTTGCCAGTTTTAACACATTAATTAAATTAAAGAAGTAACACTAAGAATTTCTGCAAGATATGAAATGTCTATGCTCTTTATGTAAATTTTATAATGAAACAAATTTTATTTACTTAATGTAGTTTATAGAAGAGGAACACTAGTAGTAGAAATTACAGATGTTTTTTCATTCTCAAAATCTTTATTGCTAAATTATTTTAATACTTTCCCGGTTGTTATATATAACAGGGGGAAATTATGGTCATCGCTCAAAAAATGACCCTCCCAAGGTTGTTACATTTTTGGTTTTAGGACACCTTCTAACGTCGAGAAATGCAATAATATTCCGGGATAATTTCTATATACAGTGGAACCTCGGTATACGACCTTAATCCGTTCCCGATGTTTGGACTTATACCGAATTGGACGTATACCAAACCAACCTTTCCCATAAGAAGTAATGTAAAAATGATTAATTCGTTCTCATGTGAAAAAAAAATGGCTGGCTTTAAACACCTCGCTTTCCCGGCTAGTTCCTGCTTGATTTTTCGTGAGATCAGCGTGTATCTTTTTAGCTTTCTCGCAAATAATTTCTTCCGATATGCTGTCTCCAGCACTATTTTTCAGTTATCCAAAGCAAAAGCAATTTCTCGACATGATCTAATGTCTTCCATCTCTGTTTAGAAATTGATTTAACCCCTTTCGCAACGTTATCAGATTTAATAGTGTCTTTATTTTTCGCGATTGTCCATATCGTCGTTCTCGGAATACGGTAAACAACAGTTAAAATTTCGAACACGCGTGCCACCTTCGTATTTCTCAACAATCTCTTTTATCAGTTCCATTGTAATTCTAGTCATTTTTTAGTTTTCTGTCGCTTTTCATTTGCCTTTTTGCGATTCGTAATTAATAAAAATAATAAAATTTTACTTACGAATTAAAATCAGAAGAAATTAAACAAAGTTATAAACCGTTGCACCGCGGACGTCTAGTCTGGTCTAGTACACCGATAGTGCTACTTATTCATTGATGGCGCGTATAATTGAATTATGTCGTATACCGAGCAAAATTTGTTTCGTCCAAACAGGACGTATTCTAAAGCAGACGTATACCGAGGTACCACTGTACATGGATGTTAGTGTATGTGTGGGGATGGCACGATTTTAATTACACTGTTTGGAGCTTCTGTGCATTTTGTCGAAAATTTTTGATATGCTGCAGGGAGGTTGCTATATTAGGAGGTTTGATGCCTTTAAATTTTGGTGGTTAAAGATCGAGGGGATGGGGAAATAATGGGAGTTGTGTGTATCTCCAGTTGGGTCGGACTTAATGACGATTTTACTCGTTATTAGCATTCAAAACTTTTTATAATTTTTAAGGTAGGGATGGATATTAAGCTTTTTTGCCATTTTATAGTAGTTAAAAATTTCTTAAATGATTTTTAAATTTCTTTAAAAATGATTTCTTTTATTTGAAACTAGCTTACCCGTCGCGCATTGCTGCGATCTCAGAAGAAAGGAAATTCAAGCAAACTCGTTATGATAAAATTCAATTTACATTTTATTATTTTTATTGAAACTTATTATTATTATTCATTTTCATTGGGAAAACATTTCAAAGTGTCGTTTCAATTCTATTTATTTATTGGAGTGTTTGTGGATACACGATATTTTTTGTTTTTCCCTCTGGTGTGTACACGAATAAATCGGAAGGTTTTTCGACGCGTGAGCCGGCCACATACAGTTGTCCATGCGAGAAGCACGGATTCTCCAAATTTAGCCCACACACTCGCTGCGATTGTCAGAAGTGCGATATTCCCCATTTTTATATATATATTTTTAAATCCTTTATAATTTTCATTATTTAATTGCTCCTTCCTTTCTTCCTTGGCACGTTGTGAAATTTCTGAGAGTTGGATAATAAACCGTTTTATTGTAATTTGTCTTTTTAAATTATTTTGAGTCGATATTAAAATTTGGAAAAGGGGGGATACCTAGATCGGTAAAATACGCGAATTTCTTCCTACAACTTCGGTTGTTGTTCGGGGTACAGTTAAGGTTTTAACGAAGCTCGAGGGAATACATAATTAGCAAAAAAAAAGTTGAAATAAAGTGATTAAACAAAAATTATTATACATATCGTAAATAACAGTTCACAAATGCATATATAGAGATATTTTTTAAGGGGGGAAATGGTCTTCACAATTTGAAATCGATCGGACACACTGTGCGCGAATGCTCGTGTAAACGCGCGCCATCTATCGTAGGATAAATGTACTTCGCGGGAGTGTATTAAAAAATTAAAAAAACTTTCCAAAGTTTTATTGCAATCGTACTATGCCACAAACCTTCCCCAGAGTATATTAAATAACTTCCCAAAGTTTCACTGCAATCAGATAAACGGTGTGGCAATGCATGAAGGACACACACACACACACACACACACAGACACACATACATTCATTTTTATATATATAGATAACTAAACCGACACCTTTAAATGTTTTTCCTTTTTCTTAAACCAATTTTAAATGTTTAAAAACATGTAAAGAACAATAGCGTAAACACCAAGTGCCAACCATCTCCAAGTTTATCAGCAGCCACCTATGATAGATCTGTTATCTGAATCATATGATGGAGAAGAAA